CCATTTTATTCTCATTTTTCAGCCATTTTATTCTCATTTTTCCGCCATTTTATCCTCTTTTTTGCCTGTTCCTCATCTGTTCTGAAACACGCCTGAATTTTCTTTCTTGTTTCGTTCGCCTTTACGTCTCTTTGTTTTTTCTTCTTCTTTTTTTGCGGGGTGGGGAGTCTTTTGAAATTTCTAAGATCGTTCTGGATATTTCACGACAGTGTGTTCTTCTTTCCGTGAGGCATAGTTTGTACTGATGTTGATAACAACAAATTGTATTCTTTTTTCATTTCTTATGGCAGCCGGAGGACAGTTCGATAACGTTCATATCCTCTTGACAGTTGGCTGACAAAGCGTAGACTTCATTCCATGCAAAAATAGGACATCGGCTAAATTGAAGAAAAAATGGCGTAATGTTTTTCATTTTAGTTAACTTGTATATTACAGACATTTTTCAGACCAGGAAGTTGATCAGAAATCAATAAAGTATAAAATCACGTTAGTCTGACCAATGAAATAGAAAATCTAGGCAAATATTAGGTTATGTTAATTTTAGGGAAATTTATGACAAAATTGGGAAAGTTTTCATCTGATGCGATTCGTTCTTCAGGACATCATCGGACTAACGTGAAGCTTACCTTGATAGGAACATGGAGAATTTTAAATTTCAATTTATTTTTTTTTAATATATGTTTCAGTATAGTCAGTACATTCCATGCGTGATACTTGCTTAGGCGATCATGTGTCTTTCGATACATGACTGACGAGGCAGATTTTTTTTTCCCGCAGTAGGTTGCTATTTCTTTCTGCGGTAGACCAGCAGTCACCCAAGGCTCTAGGACCCGGTCTGTGTACCCATAGTTGGAGGGAGAAGAAGAGAATTCATACCTATTTATCACGTAAGTGAATGTAAGGGATTCGACTGGAATTTGAACTCGGCTCTCCGATTCCTCAACCCGAGCCGCTATCCATTACTCCACCGTTCATGGAAACGGTTTTTAACAACATTCTATTTGGTCAACCATCTGACCGAAGCTGCTGTGTATTACTCACTAGTATCATAGTTAAGTGTACCAGCTCAGCTCAGTCAAAATAGTCTTTTGAAGGCTGATTTTTAAAGCAGGTAAGCAAGCATTAAGCTGTAACATTGTATTCGATCCTGAGCAGGTCAGATAAGAGCCATTTGGAAATGCTAAGGTAGGAAGATTTTATTTTCAATAAAACTTTTAAAGATAAATTATTAAATATAAAAATTAAAATATTTCCAGTCCATTGTAGATTGTTAACTTACGACACTAAATTCAGTTTATACTCAATCATATTAAATTATACTATATTCAGTTTATACTAAATTATACTAAATTCAGTTTATACTTCTGGAAATATGTATTGTTTCAATCTTTAGCATTATTTTCTTTCTCTCTACATCAGTATATTATGATAAATGGATCGCAGGAGAGTGTAAACATATGGAATTGCCTTTGTCTTGCTTTATCTAATATAATTCTAAGTATCAATATCGCATTCCCTGTTCTAGTATATTTAGAGAAACCATACCAATCTTAGTTCTAATGCTGCTGCAAGCTCTATTTACCAAAATTTAGATAAGCTTTTTTTTTTATATGGCTCATTTTCCGATGAAGCTCACTTTCATTTGCATCTAACTTCTTAAGCAGCGTTAAATTCTTCTTCTTCTTCTTTGTCGACCTTATTAAATTCTGTCTTCCTATTGTTTCGCCTAAACCCTCCTCTGTTATCTATTAACTCAAGCTGGTTCGATAGGTTAAGCCCTGTTTTTCTCTGTAATACACAATACGCTTTATGTTCGGCATATCTTCGAATCCTGTGATGTGCTATATTCTTGATATTTCAATGGCGCCCGCTTTCGTTGTAAAATGTTTGCGCATGCGTTAAATTTGAATTTAAAATCCTTTTTAAACTACCTTTTATCTTATATGAAACTTGTGTGAAAATATTGTAATTCTTTTTCTTATTCTAGCCATTATTTGACAACCGTCTAAATTTCTTTTACAAAGTATATTTAAAATATTTTCTTAGTGATGATCAACTTTATAAATTTCGGTCAACTAATTAGCCTCCGCATAGATATCGAGTTAGTACGGTATATTGTTACTATTGGATATCTAATTTGATCGTCAATAAGTGCACAAACTCAAGTACAATTTAAATGCGAACTTGCCGATGAAAACTGAGCAAACTGGAGAAAAATCGGCCACCAAGGTCTAACTATTTTTGAAAAGAATCGTCTGAACCATCTGAGAGAATTAAGAAGCGTAATCAAGGATGGTCTACATTACGCTTACCATGAAAAAGTTGGCTATACCTAAGGAATTCCGACATCTGATCATCACCCATTCTAATGACATGACCATCCCATCTGAAAAGATTCAATACCCCCGTTGCCACATTTGATGAAAAGATCAGGGTTAGAGATTTTATCCTACCATATATAACCGCATATTGAACGAAGACAGCATCTATGAAAAGTTGGTTGATTTGTGTCTTGTATGGTGTACACTATTCTGACCCATAGTCTGCTGAGAATGATGTACACTGATTTCACTGAACCCCACGAACATCCCACAGGGGATGTTTAAGCTTCCCAAAGGAGTCTTTGATATTCGGTTAACTATTTCGTCATCTAAAGAGACCAGAGATTTAGTGCACAATATTTATAGATTTGCCGCAAATGAAACTTAGAGATTTATTTTTAAGGCTGGCTAAACGTTGCAGGTAATGGCTAGCGAGCTTCTGTGGTTGACCATATGTAATCAATCCGATCCTCACTGGTGTGGGCAAGGGTAAAAATTGTCTATTCCTCAAGAATCCTCCAACAATTCCTCATTGGTTCGACGAGGGAGATGTTGTTGCATGATTGAAATCCCTGAGATATTATGCCAGGCATAGAAGTATAGAAAAGGAGAAAAACAGACACTATACATTGATCATAGGACGAAATGCAAAACTTTCGTATGAAGAAACTGAATCATAGTATAGGCACTGGTACTTAAAAAGCACACACAACACACACGCACACACACACACACACACACACACACACACACATATATATATATATATATATATATATATATATATATATATATATATATATATATATATATATATATATATCACTATTTAATAACTAATTTAATTCATGGTTTGAATGGACAATACCCTGGTACCATATGTAATATATATTTGAAGATTTGAAAATTTAAGAATTAATTAAATTTATCTATGACAAACTTAATTTCAGACCTCTTCTTAGTTGTTGGCCAAACGTGTGTCTATATATATATATATATATATATATATATATATATATGAAGAAATATAGTCTAAAGATGTGGTATATTTATGGGATAAAGTGCTCAATATCAGAGATAGAGCGTATGTATATATAAAAGTGAACATATAAGTCAACACTTAGAGACGAAAATCTGTTTCATGCCAGATGCAATCGTCAGACTTGACGTTTGCATCTAGCATGAAACAAATTGTCGCCTCTAAGTGTTGACTTCTATGTTCACTATATATATATATATATATATATATATATATATATATATATATATTAAATATATTGGTTTTTCCATACACAGTTCTAACCATGTTTCAAAAATAGAAGCTAAAAGCCCCGAATTTAATCTTGCAATTAAATTAAAAGCATTAGTTCCATTTCATCCTCAAGCGAATTTTGGGGGCTTTTAGCTTCTATTTTTGAAACATGGTTAGAACTGTGTAGCGGAAAAAACCATATTTTAAATCAATTAATTTATAATATTATGCTCTGTAAATTTACATTGAGCACTATTTTGTAAAAATAAAAATATCTATAAGAACATCGGATTATATATCTTACTGTTCTTTTCTTTTTTATTTATATACATATATATATATATATATATATATATATATATATATATATATATATATATATCCCAGCGGCATTTCCGGAAAGTGCCTTAAAACTATACCACTGGATTACCCAAGCCTTGTGAGTGAAACTGGGTAGACGGAAACCTTGTGGCCGTCGATAGCGGTGCTAGCACGAAGTCACAAGTCATCATGACCGAGGGCTTGAGTGTGCTGGCCTTGTTCAAATTGTTGATCATTCTAGATAACAAGCTCTTTCCCAGAAACTGTAACTAAGGTCTGTTCATCATAGTTGCACTATAAACCACAGATGGGCTCTTTGGGTGTTGAACAAGCACAAATATGCCTGAGCGAGCGTCTGCAATAGGGATTAGCTAGCCGCCCTATTAGACGGGTATCCTCAAATGCGAGTGCACAGCTATATATATATATACATATATACGTTACTGCGATTAAGCCTTATATTCAATTTTTCTTGCGTTCGTATAAGTGATTTTTGTTTTCTGGACATAAAGTCTGTTAAAACGGTTCGAATCTTCTTTATTGAAGCACTTTCGTCTATTCTATTAGCCATTCTCAAAGTTTTTTTTTTTTTAAATTTTTAACTGTGTGGGTAGATGTTTATATGTGTGTATCTGGAATTATAGGATTTATTATTATTATTATTATTATTATTATTTTCCAAACATTCAATAACATCAACTATGTACTAACCGTGTTTGGAAAAGAAAAACATTGCCATCACTCTATATATTCATATATTGAACTCTATATTAAGTTAAAAATTTTATAAAATATTCTTGATAATGGTTAATAGAATAACTGAATGCTCTCGAATATATAGAACATTCGGACGGGGCGCCTAGAAGTGGTGTAATGGTTAGCAAGCTTGTCTCGCTAGAACAGTTACAACTGAGTAGTGAGTTCGACCCTCACTGGGTGCCCCGTACTTTCGGCCTTGTCCACATCTGAGCTACGCTTGGACAATCGCTATAGAACATTCGGACGGCTTTTACACACTTTATGTAAAAAAAACACACACACAGACACAAGAAAAAATTAATAAAAAACTTCGCAGTACCTTGTCTTGTATAAATATATATATAGATCTATATATTTATAGTTATAGATAGATAGATAGATAGATAAGTGTATGAAAATGCATTAATAATAAACTTAGGCACAGGATGGAAAATGGCACTTTCGGTGTACGTCAAATACTCAAACAGTTCGTGCGCTGACGCAGGAGCGTTCACTTCAAAGCCTATAGGAAACCAGATTAAAATAGAATATCTTTGCCTAAGCAATAAAAAAAATGAAAAGGCGGGAAATTAAAAAGTAAAACTAAAAATGAAAATCCGAATTGGAGCTTGAAGAAGGCATTTATTCTGAAGCAAAAACCCCCTTTTCGTTTCTGTCAATGTCGACGCGTGACATTTTTGTCTCCAAGTGAGTTTGCGTGACTAAAAGAATCGCCATTAAAACATAACAAAAGCTAAACAAAAAGAAAATCTCCAAGAAAAAAAGAACGCAAAAAGGAAAAAAAAACAATTTAAAAGAATAATAAAAAAAAACAACTAAATATGACGTGAAAGACAGTCAAGCAGGAACGCGACAAACACGAAAGTAAAGAATATTAAGAAAGGAACTGAAATAGAAAAATCGAAGCAGATTCCAAAGAGAACTGAACAAGTGTTTAAAGAAGAGAAACTGAGGTTGGTTATTACTGGGGAAGCGAAAACAAGGAAAGCGATGTAACTATAAGAAAACTAGAGAAACTAAAGCAAGAGAGATGACAAAATAAAGGAAGAAGGTTTGAAAGAAAATGTTTCAATTACGGGGACGAAGGCGGGAAGAAATAAGGCATATAAAAACAAGAGCGAAGAAGAAAATAAAGAGCAAAAAGAAAAAAAAAATGGAAGCATCTGACATGAATTAAAAAAAAATAGATGACGTAACAGAAAAAAGACAGACGATAGACGGACTCTGCTTCGTATCAGAAATAATTACGTCGTTCCTCGCGATCGTAGTAGTCGGCTGCTGAACCCAGATAAAAAAAAAACATGTCTTATGTCAAAGATAACAAAAAGAGGTTACCAATTGTAATAACATTCGGATGAATGTTTTAACATTTTCGCAATAAATAAAGTTAACTCGCACATGGATTTTACATATATTTATACACAGAACAATATAAGAGATAAATATACATTTTTGTTGCGAATTGGAACACAACTCACAACAAAGAAAACGCGAGAAAGTTTTTTTTTAAATATAAAATATTTTTATTTTCGTGTTTTTACAAGTAATTTTTTTTTTTCAGTATATAAAGTTAAAGTTTCTTGTTTGTCGTTCTTTGTTATGCTGAAAAGAAATGTGATCTCTTCGCGTGTATGTCTGAAAAAGAGAGACAAGGAAGAAAGTGAGGAAGAAAGTGTAAGTATCACGTAGCTTGGAGAGGAAGGGATGAATGGAATCTCTTTGATGCTGCTTCGTGAATAAGTTGTCGTATGTTGCCGTCTTTATCTTACCGGTTTTGCCTGTCTAGAAACTTTACGTAAATACTTTTCAAGGGGGCCATGAAGCATGTTTTTTTTTTATTGCCGGCGGGAACGCGACCCGTTGGTTGGCAAATGTTAAATATTTATTTTCAAAGGATTAATTTATTAACCGGAAGGATGCGTGAATCCTCCGATTCAGAAACCAATTTTTGTCATTTGATGATTGAGTGACATGATGTTTATTTCCGTCCTTTACTAATCTACTTTTTGTATGAATGATTCATTGTAATATATATATATATATATATATATATATATATATATATAAAATGAAAACAACGCATTCTCCAAAACTTGATTATAAATTATAAGTTATTTCGACAGGTTTTTAATACTCCTCTCATCAGACCGAAATGATAAATGATTTAATTTTGCAAAATGGTTTAAATTTATCCAGACAATATTTTAAAAAACAGGCAACAGAAAATCAAAACGCTTGACCTAGAAAATCTATTTTCTACATGGATTATCCTTTCCATATATATATATATATATATATATATATATATATATATATATATATATATATATATATATATATATACATCGATTTTTATTAAGGAAAGTAATTATATTCTGGCGCAACGTAATCTTCCTTATCTTGTTTTCTTGTATTTAATTTTGTACCACACGTAGGTTATTAAATATTACGATAGTTGTTAAAATCTATAAGATAAAAGAATCATACGAAAAACTAGCCTAAAATCCGCCCTATCGGGCTGCAATTAAGCTAGCTCCTACGAAGGTCTCTTGATTAGGCCTTAGGCTTGTTCAAGAGTTTTTGCATATTCTCAACATTAGAAGCTCTCCTGGCTGCCGTTTGATCTGGGTTTTCATTTGCACTGGACTTGCCTCTCCTAGCTGCAGCCTTGACTCATTTGATTGCAATTTGGGCCTCTGTTTGCTGAGATTTCTTTTTGCAACAATAAACTTCAGAAGCACTTAGAATTGATCGCTGTATTGCATGAGCTGCATTCACTGGTTCCCAGACTCCATGAATTCAAGCGCCCTACGAGGCTGGCATCCCGCTCCCACCCGTATACCGTAGAAACTTTTAAATTTAGCCGTCTCTTCTACTCCAATAGCTTCATACCTCGCACCTCTCGCCAGTGGAACACCCTTCCCAATTACTGTCTCCCTGAGAGCTATAACTATTCAAAAGTTATGTCAATCGACATCTCCAGTTATCTTGATCTATCCCCTATCCTTCTCCTCATCCTTTCTTCTATCACTCCTATCTGTTCTCGCTCCAAATCTTCTGCAACCTCCTGCATCCTAGGGACTTCACGCGTAATGCTTAAAAAAATATTTAAGGTTACTTTGTAAAAATTCAAAGATAATTCTTCTGCCGCCACTTAGTCTAAAAACAATTTTATGTACGTAGGTCCTTATTTTACATACAAATATTTTTTTTTTTTTTTGCTTATATTTAATGGGTGACTTTAGCTGGGTTTCGCAATTAATTTAAATTATTCCCAAATTTCTTTCCAAGTTATAGAGATTGTTATCGTACAAAAAATTCGTCGAAACGAATTACGTAAAAAAATCGCCGAAGACAATCGCAGTAATGAAAACTTGGGAATCCAAAATTTCAGGATAGCAGGTCCGGTTCCGGCCTGTGATCTTTTTAATTCGCTCACGGAGTCGGCCTGATTCCAAAATGGTATGATATCTTGGGCTATGGCCTCTGGGAGTAAAGTTGATAAAGAGTGACACACTGACATTCGCATATATTTATGTAGATGAAAATAGGTTCTGTGGGAATTTCCACTATGCAGATTTATTATTATTATTATTATTATTATTATTATTATTCAAATGAATGTCATAATCTTTGTTGTTATTATTTTTGATTTGCTAATAATAAAGATAAGAACGTTAGTCTGAATGTAAATAATGAGCGGCTTTTAAAAAATATACATATATATATATAAAATTGTACTCTTCAAATGACAATAAACGCAGTGTTTATTGACTTGCACACAAGATTAATGGTTAAACTTAATAAATATTAAGGTTTCTTGACTTACAATGATTAATTTTAAAATAAATATGAAATTAAATTAAATACGAGTTTATGAATATTCAAACTAACAACGACGTCAAAAAGTGAGTACATTCTTTGGGACACCCTGTACAAACACACAGGCATATACGCGCGCGCGCACACACACATGTTGTTTTATGTGTGTGTGTCTGTGAGAGAGTGTGTGTGTTTATGGATTTTTCCACATCTTACTCAGAGAGGAGCCGCCTCCTCGCCACGCAACACTAGTAAATAGCTCCTGTCTAGTTTCGGCGTCGTTGGTCACTAAGATGACTCTTGAGACCAGCATTCGAATTTATGCATATATACATACAAACGTACAGAATCCAAAGTTTGAAGAATATGACAAAATGGAAAACCCTTTCATTGAAACTTGATTACGCCATTGTCCCTTGCTAAGCTTCATCAGATCAAAAACGAAAGAAAGAAATATGTGTGTGTCTATTTGTATTTATTTCTACGTGTATCTGTATTTATTTAAGCATACATGCAATTACACACGTACATGTTTCTTTCTTTTGATGGTGAAATACATGCATACATGCACACAAACACGCACACACACACACACACACACATATGTGGGGTGCGTGCGTGTGTGTATGTCAATAAAAACAAAGGGAAAACGTATCGTAGCCGACGTTTTAGTCCTTTCAATGACTTTAATGAGACAAATGCAAGGATTTTTTTTTTGTAAATAGATTTATATATATATATATATATATATATATATATATATATATATATATAATTATTTATTTAAAAATATGAAAATTTAAATAAATAATTATATTTATGCACTACTTTTGTATCGAGCACTATTTTTTAAAAATAATAACAAAAAACTAAAGATCTTTGGATTATTTACCTAACGAGTTCTTTTCTATTTTCTGTATATTTCATATATATATATATATATATATATATATATATATATATATATATATATATATATATATATATATATATATACATACATATATATATATATATATATATATATATATATATATATATATATATATATTGTCATCCACAGACAGAATGTTTCGTTGTATCACAGTTCATCAGTGTGGATGGACGTCCAGTCGAAACCCGGCGCACGGCAGGGCTGAAGATGAATTTAAGCGTATTTATTCTTAGATAAACACACAATGACTGAGAGGACTCAATTTCTCTACCGAAGAGTCTTGCTATATATATATATATATATATATATATATATATATATATATATATACTACAGCAAAAATCCAAAATTACCTCATGTGTGTATAGCCTATTTCGAACCGGAATTGGGGTTTTAAATTCATTTTAGATAGCAGTCTTACTCAAAGAGACGCCTTGTTTTTGATAAGGGGCTTCTATTGGTGACGAGGGGAGGGTGTAAAGTATCTCTTTAAGGGGAAGTAGTCTGGAGTCGGTGTTTATATATTGTCAGAGCCTTTCCTTGGATGTAAATGGACTTGGGTTCCTACTACTGGATACTACACAATGCAAACAACATGTTTTACTGGAATTTATAGTAAGTAGTATTTAGACAATAAGGGTTTAATATTATTAATAAGTGATGGGAGATATTCTATACACACACACACACATACACACACACACATATATATATATGTATATATATATATATGTTTCTATATCTCTCTCTGTGCCTGTCTTCATGAATGATAATCAAATGTAACCTGATTGAAGTGCTAATCACGTAAATCACTTAGCTTCATTGTAAATCGTCCCCATCTACATAGTGAAAACATACTTGCTAATGCTTGTTCAGTTTGTAACCTATAATTACCTACTTATCGATCGATTTACCCAGCTGCAGAGGCTGTTTTGTATGTTAAACGTAGAAGCCAATCAGTTGTCTGCTTAAATGTCTATTTTGAATTATTTTTTATTTTGTTCAATTTACTAAATAATAACTGATGACTGGTCAAGAAAAGCAATTTCTATCAAAAGAAATAGCGATTTCAAATTACCAAGAACGTCAACACCGATGAGTTGACCAATTTCAGAATATTCCCACAATTTCCAAGGATAAAAATTTGTTAAGTCAGAACTGTCTTTATTTTATCTTAATTCCTAAGGCACTAAACCTTAAGTAAGTTGTATATTTATATTTTACATAACATTAAATAGATATTCGAAAAATTCAAATGAAGACACAATTTTTTAATTATTTATTTATTTATTCAGTTAATTCTGCTAATTATATACAAACCCTGATTATTAGGAGTATATATATATATATATATATATATATATATATATATATATATACATACTATATATCATTAACTTTACTAATCTACATTTTGTATGAATGATTCATTGTAATATAGATTGAACTGCACCATATATTTCATTTAAAAGTATTGATCCGCCGTTCAAATTTTCGGGATAACAGCTGAGACAGTACTCTA